AAGAAAGAAAGAAAGAAAGCAAAGAAACAAAACCTGGTTGCCAGTGGGGAGGATACCTAGCAGAAGGGAAACTATTACCACATAGCTTTCTATACATGGTGTCTGCAGCCTTAGGCTGGGAGGTCCTCAGCCTTCCCTTCCTGTGTTTTTGACCTGGGTCTGGGCACCCTACCTTTCCTATACTGGTGGGAGGTGGTAATGGTCATTTCCGCAGACATGTTTTGGATCTTCATTTGAATCCCAAAATTGTCACCAAAATCCACCTCCAGACATTGATCCACTTGAGAAGCCATTTGCACACGGAATCCCAGATGCTGAGGTACCCGGATGTTAGTTTCTGGGAAACGATGGATGACAGCGTCCATGGCATCAGCATGACCCGGCGTGGGAAAGACTGCAGGTTGACACTGCATGTGGAGACAGGGCTGTGGGGGGCCAGGCAGGGATGCTGAGAGGCCATGAGTGCTGGGAGTACCAGGAAGGCCAATGGGGCTGTGGGGAGAGAGGCAGGAGCATTTCAGAATCACAGTCTGACAAATCCCAGGGACCTGTCACCAGGAGGATGCAAATGGCTTGGAGACATTCTTCTGAAAGCAAGCTTTGTGGGACCCACTGTCTCAAAGTGTGGTCCCAAGGCTGGAAGCACCTGCAACAGCTGGAACTTGAGAGACATGCAGGTTCTCAGGCCTTACCTGGGTTCTGGGGCAGGTCTTTGAGGTAAGCAGAAAATTGAGAACATCTGTTCTTGCTGAATTATCATAGTAATAACATAAATATTTCCCTTGATCACTGAATGGACATGAAAGACATTTCCCCTCAAAGTCAGTCCTCTGATATTTTTGGAAAATGCTCTTTGTGGAGGAATTGTGATCATTTTTACTTACAGTGCTTTGTACTGAGAATGAGTTGGGGAGTTGGGAATAGTCTAAATGATTCACCCTTCAGCTTCCAGTGAACACAGGACTTCTCTAATCACATGTGCTTGTAAAAAGCTTTTGGGGAATGCTGCCTGTGGTGTTGACATGGTCAGCATAACTAAAGGGCAGAAAACTTCAAAGCAGTGAAAGAAAATATTCCTGGAAGTAGAAGCATTTTAAGAGTTTAGTGACTGATCTCCATGATATAGACCCCCTCCCCCGCCAACATCCAGCTGTGCTATGCACATCCCATCAAAATACACAGAATCAAACAAAACTTTGGTCTAGATACCTGATGATCTGAAAAACAAAGTAAACCAACTAATGTGGGACCTTGCAGGAAAGAATGACTGACCCCAGTTGTCCACTGGCCAGACTTGCTGCTACTATTGGCAAAAACAAAGAAGAAACGGATATCGCCGATTCCCTGGACAGGGCTACTGGGTCAGCATCTAGAGGCGACACTGGCCTCCACACCAACTTTTCCTACCTGCTTAGACGGGTAAGGTAACGAGAAATTGGGCCATGGGTCTGAGCAGATATGGGTCCCGTGTGGTCAGTCTCAGGAAGCAAGTCCATGTCCTCGGAGAAGCACAGTGGTCCCGTGGCACAGATGGAGATGTCAGTTCTCAGTCTGCAGAGGCCTTCTGGAGGGCAGGTGCACTGGAATTTACAAGTAATAGTGATTACGAGAAGCTATGATGTGGTCCAGACTGATGTCCACATTGGACATCCACAGTGAGAAGCAGCTGATAAAAAGAGCTTTGGTGCAACCAAGGATGCCTTTATTCAGGAGGTTATTACAAATTGGCCCTCAGATTTCAGTGCAATGCTGAGGATAAAATGAATCATACTTCGGTGCCAAAGTACTAGTCAAAAAGGCCTCTCTGGTGGTGCAACAAGTTAAAGCGCAACACTAGGAAGCCAGCCACAGCCACTGCAGCAGGAGTTCGATCCCTGGCCAGGAAGATGACCCACATGGCGCAGCAGACCTCTCCTGTCTGGCCCGCTGCTACTCTTAGCAGTGTGTTGCAGTACATCTGCCTGTTCTGCTCACCACTCTGACTCCGGTAATGCCTCTCACCACCGACCTGGCACCTGTGGCCTGTACCCCATTCTTGTATGTGTAAATAAATAAATCAATTTTTTTTAAAGGTGTCTAGTTGATGCAGCTGGAACTAGGAAGCATGTTTTATCAGGAATTTGAAGAATGATGAGTTCCTCCAGTGAAGCCAAAATTATTTACTTTTGGTAAGTTATAAATCAAAGTTAATAGCTGAGAGATAATGCTCTTTCAGACATCAAAAAGTTAAGTATGTTTTCCCCTACTGCAGAGATATATTTGAGTTATGCTTTCAGATAGACTGGACTGTGTCCAAACGATAAGAAATTCAAAATATGGCTCACCAACAAACAGCAGCCACCTGCCCTCCCCCCACCGCCATCATCACCCTCACCCCCACCCGCAGCTTCCGGATGACATTCACCACGTACCCGGACTGGGTCAGCGCATGCGCTCTCAGGTGCACATGCCTGCTGGCCTTGGGGCGCGGGGCCAGCACTGCTTCTGAAGCCAGAGATTGTAGCAGAAGGCTCCGGGGACATTCTGCACATGAAGGAAATGGCAGAAAGAGAAGGAAAGCTGGACCTGCTTCCCATAGGCCCTTGGTATACCTGGTTACTACTAAAAACCCTGACCTATCACCCTCATGGTGACGGACATGATGAGTTTTCTAGAAGCCAAACTAGAAAAGAGAATAAACTTCAGGTGAGATGCTTCACTAGGGAGTGGAAATATGTAAAGCTTCAGGTGGTTGGCCCAGAAGGGTTTCGCTGTCTGAGGCTTCCTGAGACCTGGCCTGGAGCCACAGTGACATTGAGCAGTACAGACCTTCACAGAAATCCCCCTCTGGTGGGGTCACAGACAGTCTAGAGTTGTCCCCACGAAGTAACTGCCGCTGTAGTTGGCGTCTTCAACGTTTTCAGGGGATGGGATGTGCAGGCTCGACCATGGCTAGCAAGGATGAGGACCATTTCGAGTTCCCCTTTGCATCCCGCTCTCCCAGGACCCTGGGTACAATTGTCCACTGATGGCCTGGCTAGCTGCAGAGCCAAAGGGGCCCAGAAGCTGACACATGCCAAGTGGTCACGTCCAGAGCACTTGGTTTCCTAGCCGACCTCACTGCAGCTCTCAAGCTTTGTCCCTGGGGCCCCACCTCAGGTAAGACGAGCCTGGCTTCCCTCCCCACTCCAGCCAGTGATGCTGAGCAGACTGACAGTGGAATAACCCTGGGCAGGAAACACCTGGAACTGGAGGATACTCGATGCAGGGAGACACTTCCTATACTGGCCACAGTCATGGGGCCCAGCAGGGTGACACAGGCCTGAGCAGGTGCAGAGGCCTTGAGCAGATGACAGTGGTCAGTCCACTGCCTGCTGACTGGTGTCAGTCCAGCCAACATCGAATATTAGGCTTAACCTGTGCCAGAAGCTCTGCAGAGAACAGACTTGCTCTTGTGAAGAGCATGAAATTCTAGAAGTGGAAAGTGCTCAGTGGGTTTCAGAATGGAGCACAAACACTGTGGGCACCCCATACCCCCAGATCTCTCTTCACCATACCATGGGCCATACCATAGGAACACCCATTCTCTCCACACTGTCAGTCGGAATTGACTTTCAGGCATTTCAACTGCCATGTCCCCCTGAAGGGCAGCCTAAGTTACTCAGCCACCCTTTGTGTGACATATATCATCGACCCAGTGGAATCAAGTCGAAGCAAGATTTCACACTAAATATATGCTGCATGGAAATCAGACAGCCAGAAAAGCTAAGCTACCGAAATTCCATGGGGGATGGACAGACAAGTCCCTCCCGGAGAGGAAGAATACTGCTATCCAAGAGCACTTTGGAGGGCAACATTGGGGCCCACACGTCTGGGAACTGACTACAGACCATACTCCCCAATACTGCTGCCAGCAAAGACAAGGAATTTGGTGTGTTGGGGAGGGGGGTGGGGAGGGTGTGGAGGTGATGAGGTCAGGTGTATGGAAGTAGAGACCCTCCCTGGGTTTACTGGGTTTCCTTTTTCTGGATTTCCCTGCAAGGGCTGAGCAGGAATGTGCCTGCAATCACAGGTTAGACCGGGCCTTGCTTTGTCCGTGCTGACCCTCTCTGTTGTGCTAGCTTTGCTCCCTGACCTGGAGCTGCTCCCTGAAGTGTTAGAGCAGCAGCCTGAAGGCCAGTGGGGAGAGACACAAATGCAGAGGACAACATGCATGTCCGCTCTTCACTTTCTTGCCTCTTCTGCTCTGCGTAGAGCAAAACATGAACTGAGCTGCCAGCTCCCCACAGAAGCCTTCGCTTGACCCTGACTGCAAAGCAGAAATGGCTGCCTAGGTAGGGCCAGGCTCCAGCCCTCTGCCTTCCCATCCTCCTGACCGGGCAGCTGCCCCTGGCAGGGCCCAGCCCTGAGCCCTCTCCCTATGGGACTACTGTACTCCCTCCTGTGGCACCAGCCTTGCCACCGATGGAAGGGGCACATGCCAATCCTAGGAGAGGCTGTAGGTGCCCCAAGAGGCACTGCCTCTGTTTTCTTCTCTCTACCCAGGAGTGTGGGTCTGCACCTGACGCGCTCCTTCAGCCAGGCCCCAGTAAGAGTCGAGGTCAATTTTACTGAACAAATGCAAAGAATCTGTACTTGATTTAACTAGCCAGGGAGCTACCTGACCTTCTGCTTTGAAGTTGCAGCTGGCAGAAGGGGGAGTTACCTGGCACTGGCTTCAAACAGATGGGCTGCATCATAGCTGGCAGGAATGTTCACATTTTGTTTTCCTGGCCTTGATGTGACCCAACAGATTAACACATGGCTACATTTTGACATAGGACCCTGGAGCCAAATCTTAATTGTGGATCTTGGCAACAGTATTGGCTCTAGCACTAATGGTCCACTATACCCTGTGAGGGGTAGATATACGGGGCCTATGTGTCTGGTCAGTAAAGACCCTGACTGAGAGGCCACCAAGGTCACTTTAGCACACTAAGACATGCCCGCCAGGTGGAGACCTAAGATAAGAATGAGACATGTGACATATGAAGAAACATGTAGCTTTTCTGCACATGCCCTTGTGCAGCCTGGCACAGAATATGTGACTTCCCCTGCCCTGCCTGACACGCTGACCCCTCTATATCCCTTTATATCTATCCTCAGAAAGCCAGAAACTTTCATTTCCAGGGTTGCCTTCTTCATGCATAAATCTAGTAAATGATTTGGATGGTGTCTGCCTTCTTGTTAAATTCGTTCACATTTTCTCAGAGCTGTAAAGGAGAATCAAAGGTCTAAAAAACAGTAGAAAGAAAAAATGATTGTCACAGAGCTGTGCATAGACACAGACGTGGAAATTGCCTTTGTTGTATGGCCCTATACACATCGTAAGAGAGCGTTGACAGTAGTCTGAGGCATGGCCTGGTTGAGGAACCAGCGGCACACCACCAAGTAGGTGCTCACTTTCCTTAGACAGACCAGTTCCTTTCATTTAAACTTTTGCCTTTGACCTGTTTGCTGGGATGATTCCTTCCCTTGTTCTACTTCTCGATCTCTGCCGGACTCTTGACCTTAACCCAGCTTGCCTGATGTCTCACCAGACAAATGCCCCTTGAAGGGCCCCACACTGTTGGACAGACTCAGTATTATCTCCATTTTTATTACAAGTTTTTCCTGTGACAGATGTGGGGTCTTTGATGGGGTGTGGTGAGTCTCAGTATCTCCAAATTCTTCCTCATATATGAGATTCGCAAATGGCTGGATGGAGGAGGGGGAAAGGAGGGATATTACGAATTAACAGCAGAGCAGTAGTTACCCCGAGTACATGGGGTAGGTCAAGGAGGATTGAAGAGTGTATTTGCTGGGGGCAACCTGGTGCTTCAATAACACAACTGCCAGTGGGACTAGATAAGGGCGATAATAAAGTGGGCCTTGCATCTAAGGGTGATAATTAACTGGGCCTTGCATCTGGATGATACTGGTGGGATGAACTGGGCCTTGCATCAGGGAGCACAGCGATGAGTCATCCCTTTGGAATCTGAACCTAGAATCTATATAAGAGACCCTTTTCCCCTATAGCACTGGCAGTAGCTGTGGACCCCACCCTCGGGAGCTCTGTCTCAGCTGCTGCCCGAGAACAATAAACTTTACTTGCTCAGCCTTTCTGCCTCCTGTCTTTCTTTCTTGTGGCCGGTCACAGAAGTTGGGACAAAACAGTATTATAGTTGTGAGCCATCACCAGTAACTGCCCTGGGATCAGGGAACTGTTTATATCCATGAAAATGATAAGAGAACAGTAATAATGTGGGAGAACAAAGACATGTCTATATGTCAGTCTAATGTCCCTTAAGAAGAAAGAAAAAAAAAGTGTTAATTTTTTTCTAGGATGAGTAAAATCCAGGATCATAGGAATAGCATGACACTGTAGAATCTAGAAGGCTACGTATTTTTGAATTGTGCTTATTTTAATTTATTGATTGTCTGTAAAGTGTACACTTTAGTATATTCATATTGTTGTGAAACAGAACCCCATCCTGCTTCCTTCTGCAAATCTGAAAAGGTACCATTCATTGAACACCAACTTCCCATTCTTCTCTCCCAGCTTCTTGCACATTCTACTTTCTGTCCCTAAGAATCTGACTACTCTTCATACAGCACGTAAGAGGAATCATACACTATGTCTTTTGGGAGTAGCTTATTCCATTTAGCCTAATGTCCTCAAGACTCATCTAGAGCTACTCTTTGAACGTCCACACGTTTCATAACCATGAGATAACCAATTACTGTAATATCTACTACCTTCTCTCTGATTAGGTTCACTGTGTCTCCGAATTTCACAACCAAGATGATAACAAAATATTATATGTCACCATCTTGTTTGTCCCAGCATTCTGATCAAATTGGTCATACTGTCTGCTTACCAATTAAGTTCAAAATATATTCTTTTCCCATCCAAGTTAAGTGCCCCACGTGAACCTTTCCCTTCCCTGCATACCAGAAGTACATTTTCTAACACTCCCCACCCCTGGCCTGGGTAGCAACCCGCCTTGAATTTGGCACTGACAAGGCTTTGTAAGCCGATGTGCATGTCCAGAAAAGTAATTTTCAGCCATGGTTTATCGACATACCTCTGGGCCTGGTTACTGTGATCTGGTAAATATTGTATTTTCCCAAGAACAGCTCTTGACACTGTTTCAACAGTTTTCAGAATGTTCTGTGGGGTAATATAAAAAAAAAATGAGAACTGCTTATGAAAACCTGAGACATTTGGGGAAGTAACCATTTTAATCATAGAATAGCAGTCATCTGCTGTACACCAGGCATCTCTGGGCTCTAAGGACCATCAGGGAAGAGAAGAAACATGCTCACTCCTCACATGGAGATCATGTTCTCAGGGAATGTCAGGGAGGCCAGAAACTCAATAAGGGCACCGGACAGAGAGTAAGTGGAGACCACATGGAGTCTTCAGTGGTGCAGTGGACCTCTAATTTCATACTGAATGAAATGGAGGCTTGAGTAGAAAAGAGATAGTTTATTCTGTGTTTTGGAACAATCAGTGTAACAGGCTATATCTTTAAGACAATGGAGGTAAGAATCTTAAGAGTTTTCTGAATTCATTGTTTTTGTGGTGGGATTTAAAGGCATGGATAACTTTATATATAGTAGTAAAGAGATAACTAATAGTCTGTGGTGTAAGCCCTCCCTAGGTGGCACAACAGATTAGGATGCAGCATTGCAAGCTGGCAGCAGCTGCTTCAGGAGAGTTCAATCCCCAGCCCGGGAGGTGATCCACATGGCAAAGCAGGCCTCTCCTGTCTCACCCACTGCTCCGCTCAGCAGTGTACTTCATTGATCTGCCTACTCTGCTCCCCACTCTGTCTCTGGTGAGTCCTCTCACCACCCCTGTACCACTGGCCTGTATTCCAGTTCTGTATGCATAAATAAATAAATATTTAAAATAGTCCATGGTGTGATGGCGGAGACACGTGAAACATCACCACTGATTACCCCTCATCACACACTTAAAAGATGCAAGCCACCTCAGAATGTTTCCATTACTCTGAACAGGATGAGGAGACTGGCTGATTGTTCCTAGTTGTGCTGGACAAAGCAGGGAAAGAAAGGGTGAGCTGAAGACTATAGTGCTCATAAATAATCTATAGCGCTGCATAAATTATCTATACCTACCTGAGAGAAATGCTCAGGCTTGTAGCCATAGATCTTGGAGTGCCAGAAATCAAGCCTGGAGTCTCCATGTGGATGTCTGGCAAGTGAAGGAATGCTGTAGTGTGCACAGAAGCTGGAAGAAGCCCGGAACCAGTTTTACAAGCGCCCCCTGGGAGTGTAAGCCTGCCAACACCTTGATCTTGGCCCAGGAAAACTGAGCACACAGAACACATTTCTTTTGTGTTAGATCTGCAATCCTTGGGAAGCCAGTGCAAGGTGACCAGCTTAGATCCAGGAGCCAGGACGGGTGATTTAGCTGGCAGGCAGTGAGGAGGGGGTCTAATGTGGATGCCTGCAGAAGCTAGATTGTGGATACCTACAAGACAGAAACACTGGCAGCTGGATTGGAAACAGGATCAGGTAAAAGAGAGAACACAAGGATGATGCTAGGGTCTGACCTAAGCAAACTGGGTCATAGATGGGCTGGGG